ACTAATAATTAGATGGCATGATTGGGAGGTGATGAAAACTATGAGGTGAAGTTTAATTTGAGGAAGTAGATTAAGGAGGGAGCATGCCCTAGAAGAGTATTTTTTTTTTTCTTTTTGGTCCTGGAACCCGATCTGCTGCTTTCTGTCTGTGTCCTGCCTGCCATGAGACATTTAGTCGTATTAGTGAAAAGCCAGCACGTCATCCTGTGAGACACTTACTTTTATGATTACACGCTAGAATTCCAGCTAAAGAGCAGCCCTGAAAAGGACCACTTTTCCCCCCTCAGTTGTATGCTCTTCTCAGCAGCTCTCCTGCACCTTCCAGGGTCCCCCAACTGAGACCAGGACTAACAAGCCCGAAAGTCTAGACAGGGCTGCCCGGTTAGGATATGGTCTATCCTGTTGCCTAGACTGGAAAAAGCCCAGCATTCTTGGTGTTTGCTAACTGACCTCGTCATGGAGCAAGGGCACTCCACTTCAGGTTTCAGGTGAGAGGTGGAATACCGTGAGCCATGCCTTTGGACCAGACTGATGGGTGGTTTAGTGCAGGTCCAGGAAACCTCAGTCAAGGTCAAGCAGAAGCCTGAGTAGTTTATCATTATGGGTAGGTTACGATGTAAGGGAAAGCAGCATCAACAAGAAGGACAGACTAGGAGAAGGATGACTAAAAGCTACAGCCAGGAAACATCCTTGCCGGCAGACTGCTCAGCCCGCACAGCAGAGCACACTGCCTGTGGTGATGAAGCACATTATTTTTCTATTTCTTGCTTGTTTTCTTCTGGGAGTTGGACTGACAAATCTCAAACCTAGATGTTAATACGCAAAATGAGGAAGTAGTACAACTCATGCAAGTTCCTTGAGGGACCTAAACACCACTCAACAGTTACAGGCAGATCTCGGATGAATCCCACCTACCTGCCGGGCACCACTCATCCATCAGGGGCTAGGTTACCAAACTTAGTTCATCAGATAGGAGGCCAGATTTGCTAAGCATGTGGGGAAGATTCCTTTTTTTTGAAAAAGAAATAGCTACCTAGAAGCTGTCTTCCTTTAGGTGGTGTGGCGAATGATAAGATGGCTTGGGTACAGGTAGGCAAGAGGGGCGATGGGGCAGGCTCACTGTGTCAATCTTCTGGTGGCTTTGGCCAAAGGCAATCCTTTTTCCCTCAGTCATAAGCATAGGTCATGAAAAGGAGAATGGTGGTGGCAGGAAATGTCTTCCGACTGATTGCATATTCCACAGGAAGTACTCTGGGTAGTGTCACATGCCTTTTATCTATCTACCTAACCATTCGCCTCCCTATCCACCCCCAATCCATCCATCTGCCCATTTACCTATCATGCATCCATTTATCCCATACACTCACCCATCCATCCATCCATCCATACCACATTATGAGTTGCAATTGACAAATAATCACAAGTATTTATAGTGAACAATTTGAAGTTTTTAATACTTGTGTTCACTTGCAGAATCATCACTCACTAAAATCTACCCAATGAACGTATCTGTTATCTAAAGATTCTCCTCTCCTTGACACTCTTTACCCCTGCCCTTTTCTTCCTCCGTGCATGAGCAGAACCCACATTTTCTGCTATTCCATGCTATCCTCCGTTAACAGGACCAGTGAAATTCTTTTCCTCTTATTCCACATATGTACCCATGTTTCCGATTTCCTTATTTCCCCAGACATCTACAGTGTCTATTTTCCTTGCAAACAGTCAGAGCTCACAATTCTCCATTTCAGAAACAATATAGTCTCCCTGTTTCATAAACAACATAAGGCTTAAATATTTCCTATTCATGAATTTTCCCAATAAGGCCTCATCCCATCCCATGTTTTTTTCTCGTGTCCTATGGACAAGACCAAGGTCCCTGTAATTGCCTCTTTACATGGATCCAGCCAAAGTTCATGTTTCTCCTTTGCCATGGGTGGAACAAGACCCTGTAAGTTCCCCTTTAGTCCATGGAATTCTCAAGTCCCCATCTCCCCTACAGCCTGTAAAATTACGAGGCATTTTACTTCTGTTTTCATAACGTGCAAAGAACCTTATTTTTCCCTTTCCTTTGGGCACGGCCAAGCTTAAACATTCTCCACAACTGCTTGGACATGGCCTGTCTGTGTGTTTTTTTTCATTCCTGGATGTAACTAGGCTATCATGCTCCTTTTGTTTCACAGCTATAAACAGGAATCCAATTTTCCAATTCTGTGAAGATAAACAAGCTCCTTCTTTGCCTTTCCTCCAAGAACGTGAACAGGCCCCTTACTTTCTCCTTTTTTCCCCATTCCTCATGTATTTCACCTGACTCCTCTTAATTCATGGTCAGTTTCCCAACATTCACTGCATTTCTTACTTACGGTTGTGACTAGGGTCTCTATTTTATCTTTATTCCATGAATATAACATGATCCCTACTTCCCACATATCCACGGACATGTTGGTACTCTATATCCTCTTAGTTATTGGACATTAAAATACTGCCCATTTATTCCATTGATACAATTAGGCCAGTTATTTCCCCTTTATTCCATGGTTTTAACTAAATACCTGTTTCTCTCTCATACTGTGGATCTTCCTGGTATTGTTCATGGAAAACTGGATCAGGAAACAAGATGCCTGAACTGATAGGGGCCAGAAAGCAGTTTAATTTGCAGCATTGACACACACAGAGCCAGCAGAGGACAGTTTAAAAAGCTGGGCTGAAGAGATGGCTCAGCAGTAAGGAGTACTTGTTGCTCTTGTAGAATACCTGGATTGAATTCTCAACCCCCACATTGGTGGTTCAAAACTATGCCTGACTCCAGTTCCTGGGAATCTGAAGCCCTCTTCTGACTTCCTCAGACACTAAGCACACAAATGGTACAATACGTGCATGCAGGCAAATGGTACATTCACATACATAAAACAAAATTTAGAAATACAAAAGAAGAACATGAGCCCCAAGTTCGGTTAAACAGATTGTTTTATGCCCATCTGACCCCCTGCTGGGCTCCCCACATAGCAGTCCAGAGTCACATATATTTTTGATTGTCTATATTTAGCTTAAATATAATAGTTTGTTGAATTGTCCCACAGGCAGAATGTCCTCCCACTCCAAGCAGCAGAGTTTACTACAAGCCATTTATAGTACAGAGGGGAAAGGGTAGGAATTAGGCTACAGTTGAGACATCTACTCTCTAAGTGACCTTGGCTTATGCAACTTGGAGTGTTTCAAAGCTGTCATGTCTGGAGCCAGACAGTTCTAGTACTCCATGGAGCACAGTATGGATACCATGATGTATCCTAGCAGGATTGTGCACTGTCACATGTGTACATGAGAATGGCTTGGACAAGGGCCAGGAGTTCCATAGACAATGGTTCCAGCCCATGAGTACGAGTCAGGGAAGGATCACACAGATGTTTTTGAGAAATCACCAAAGGCAGACACAGGAGCAAGTTCTTTGCCTCCATCCATTTTCATATTGTAGGGATGTCAGGTGTGGTGGCACATGCCTTTAACCGCAATATGGGGCACAGTCAACTGGATCCCTGTGAGTTTTAGGCCAGCTTTGTCTACACAGTGAGTTCCAGGCCATCCAGGATTATGTAATGAGACCTTATTTCAAAAAAGAATAATCCATATTGTAGGGAGATAAAAAAAAATCTAGGCTCAGGGAGATTAACTAGCCCAGAATCCCCAGAATATATCTGGATCATAAAATGTGTGTGTGTTGTCTGCCATATGACTCTGGTTCTCACTGACTAGTATTTAGTTTTGAATATTTCAACTTTTAATTAGAAATAATATAAGACTTGCAAAAAGGCTGAAAAAAAATGCAAAATCTGTCCTAGGCCTTTAACCTCCCCAAACATCAGCATAATCCTAGGACAAGTGTAAAACTAAGAAGTTAATATTTGACAATATAAGCATTGCATTATATTCAGATTGTGGGGGTGGGGTGTGGGGGACTGGGGATGTATGAAGGCCCAAGGCTGCTGTTGTGTCTTACTGCATTACCCTCCACCTTATTTTTTGAGACAGGGTCTCTCAATGAACCTGCAGTTTAGCATTTTGGCTACACTGATTGACTGGTGACCCCTAGGACTCAGTGTCTTTGCTCCCCAGCACTAGGGTTACAGATGTTCACTGCCAAATCTGTCTTTTATGTGGGTGCCGAGGATATGAACTCAGGTCCTCACGCTAGCACTGAGCCATCTCTGTAGGCCCCAGATTTCTTTGATTCTCTTACTATTATTCTTTTCCTGGAGCAAAATACAGGGCTCTCTAATGAGCTTCTACGTACAGGCGGGGCTAATTTCTGAGGAAAGCTCCTGGCTGGCTGGTTTCACATGAGGAGATTGGGGTTACCTCACAAAGCTCTACTGGGTCACAACAGGATTACAAGTGAGACTATGTGAACTTGCCATCAGAGCGGGAAACAGCAGGGAGAGGTCTGTGACAGGTGGGAGGCAGGTGATTAAAAGGAACCTGACCGAAGAAGCACCAAGAGATGCTGGTGGCTTGGTAAGATGGTTGGAATGTACTACCAGGTTCCATGTGGCTGAGTCCCATGTCTCAGCTCAAATATGACTTTCCATAAACATTCACCCACTCCCATACATAGTGACCTCTGTCTACCACAGCAGCTTTTATTGCAGAGCTCTGGGCAGGTCTGTTCTTGGGATTTCTTGCACACTGCGTGCGCGGGCAAGGGTAGGGACTCCCCTGGCTTGGCAGTGTGCAGAGACAACCCCTTACCTGGACTGCTAAAGAACAGAATGCCATTGCAAGTGCGAGGAACACTGCTGGGTAGCAGGGCGTGTGGCCCCCTGGGAAGCTTTCCACGGGTAGTGTTCTTAGCACCGTGGAAAAACGAACTTGAGATCTTAAACCTTTGCTTAAGTGCAGGTGAAGCTGTCTCCCAGGAAAGCCTGTGCTGGTAAGACGGCTGTGGCAGAGCGAGGCGAGAGTTGCTGTCCTCCTACCCTGGCAACACTGCAGATAAGTGCCTTCTGAAGCTGTGGAGATGAAGGCCAGAGGCTTGAGGATCCCCTTCCTGCTATTGCTGGCGACTGTAGTTGCAACGGCCAATGTGACTTACCTCCAAAGGTGGGGGGGCTTCAAGGAGAAGGCCACAAGCACGAAAAACATGAACTCCACACTCCATTTCTTCATCCAGTTCTACAACAACGCAAACAACGACACCTACTTGTTTCGAGTGCAGAAGCTAATTCAAAGCCAGATGCAGGTTTGTGCCTTGGTTTTCCGGACAGCGACACAGCCCCCATCTTGCTCTTTCAGACATATGGGGATGCTGACTGGGCTCCCGGGATATTGGGGTACCCATAACTCTTTGGGGAGCGTCATGTGCGGTGGGTGCACTTGATGCTTCTGGGCTAAGCAGGTCCCTCAGTCACTACAGCCACATAATCTAGGTGGCCCTAAGGTCGAGAGCCAACCTAACTCCCTTCTTCTTAGCCAAAAGCTGATTTGTAGAGGTTCTCCATTGTTCTGTGGAGGGGACTGCATTTCATTCTGCCTACCAGACAGCAGTAATGGGGCTGGTTTTGCTTTCTTTAATGGTTTTGTCTGGACAAAACCTAAAGAAAAGACTCTCTGTAGATTCCTTATTTCTGTCAACATTTCAGTGTCCAGGACTGTAAAATAGGACTGAATTTTCTGTTTGAGACATCCAGAATCACAAGTCTTTGGGGATAGCAGTAGGGAAATAGCAGGGAATGAGCCAAGGGGCTTCAGTCAGATAGTCCCACCCCTTCTGAGGCAGAGTCTCTGCATTTAGCCCTGGCTGGCCTGTCTCTCTACCCTCAACCTCCTGCCTTAGCCTACTGAATGTGAGTGCTAGGATCACACATGTGTGCCACCGTAGCTTCTTTTTTGTTTCACACACAATTTTACACATATATTTCTTGTGAATTGTATCAGTTGAAAGATGGTAGAGGAGAGAATTTGTTTGAAAACTGTTGATCCAGTGTTCCCTCAAGGTCAGATAGTAAAATATGTAAATCAGTCAGAAATGATATTACATCCTAGTTAGGTTTGGGGAGAAATAATTCACTAGGAGGAAAGATTACTAGAGGTGAGATAATTGGAGGCAGATGGAACAGGAGTAAGCAGAAAGAGGGGAAGGCATGGGAGTGGGGTGGCAATATTAGTGTTATACCCAGGCCAGAGGATTCCTAAATCCTGGCACAGACATTCCCGGGGATTCCTGGCTATTATGCACTATGACCACAAGATGGTGCTGTTCTCATCACAGACATTCCCGGGGATTCCTGGCTATATGCACTATGACCACAAGATGGTGCTGTTCTCATTTGTCTTTTTCACTCGAATCAATTTCCTTTAGGTATAGCTGAGACGCTAAGATTTAATGTGTGAAACCAACCTTTTACCACTAACAGTTAACTGGTCAAGAATAGTTTCTTAAAATGTTATAAAAAAAACCTTGATGTTACTTTAAGTGATAAATGGACAGTGTGGGCTTGCTGATTGGAAGGGGAGGATCATGACTACAGGTTTCCGGACATCTCAATATCCGGACTTTGAAAGTCTCAGTACGGCAAAGAGGGGGCCGTAGACAAGCATGGTGGGCTGGTGGGCCTGCTTTCAACTTTCAGCTGTTCCCAGCTGTGGGATCTTGGTTAGGTGTTATCTAGACTCCTCCAGGAATGCTTCTTCACCTGCAAACTGGGTCAGAACAAGTAACAGTTTAGCACAATGCTGTCACCTAGTAGCACTTGTCAAAATATTTGCTGTTATTATGACTGTTCGTATTCTGAGTGAACAATTGACACTACCAGTGAGTAAGAAGTTTAATGTGCGCTCATGTTTTAGTTTTTTCCTACATACAACTTGCTGGTGGCCAGTTAGTGTGACAATGGCTGGCTCAGTTCTACAACATCCTTATGCACAAGTAAAATGGCCCTTTGATGACGGCAGAGGAGCATCTGTACTCTAGTAAATTCCAGGCTAGTACTGAGATTGTGTTTTCAGTGCAGCCATGGACAATTGGCCTGGGACCTGGCCTTAGATTTTCTATGGGAACCTTTCAACCAGGATCAAGGTGAATTTTCTGCCTGTATCTCCCCTAGACAGACTCACACTATCTCATTAGGTTGGACCACTGGCATTTGGGCAAGAAGCAGGGGACTCCCAAAAGCTTCTCCCTATACAACACTGCTGTCTAATCTACACATTCATCTGGAGGCCAGACCTGGGACAATAATCACCAAATGTCCTTAGAGTTTCACTCCAGTGTGCTTCTCTTCCACAGAAGCCTTCCCAACTTCCTCCGTCTTGGTCTTCACAGGCTTAGGTTTGATCACGAGAAAGGGAAGACAAAAGCACCCATGGGAGCTGGCTCTGGCTTGTGTCTCTGTGGCTTACCTGGCTAGCACGTTACCTTACACTGTCCACTTCCCCAGGAGGAAACAGCTTCGGGGCACAGGGGTATCAAGTGGAAAGCTCCTAGGAGATAAAACAAGATCTTTAGCACATGTCATCCTTCTGTCCTTGGCTCTCACAATGTCATAGCTGCTCCACACAGTTGGCAGAAACATTTAGTAACTTAAATATTTGAATTCTCTTAAGCTACCATTGTGTGGCTTTTCCTGGGGAGACCTGAATCAGCATCTACTTACTACAGATAGGGAGTGACAACACACCAAAGGAATGATTCCAACCAAGTCTAGCTTAGTTTACCGGTGACTCTATAGGGATGCTTAAAAACAACATGGAGGACTCAAAAGCAGCTATATCTCCAAAAAGTCTATCCCAGCAAGGGTGATGGCTCAGGATGATGACAGCATCTCAGAGGTTCCTGCAGGTGGCTCAGCTAGCCCCAAAGTCTCCTTAATGACCTTGGGTAGGAGGCCTTACAATCTTGTTTCATTTGATTCCTGCATCTTATGAACCAGCCTCCACACTCCAGGGGGATGTTTCAATTGGGAGGAAATGGCTACACAATAGGTTGGTTTTTATGCATTAGTGGAAGTGCTTCTGTTTTTGTCCACAGACTCCACAAACAGATCGAATGATTATGTGTCCCTTTCAAATGAAGAAATGGAGGCTGCTATGTTATTTTCTCAAGGTTTCAGAGCTAATATATGGGGAGTGAATGTCTGAAATAAATTTGACCCCCAAGCTCATTTTAAAAGATTTATATTTTTTATGTGTATGAGTGTTCTGCCTTCAAGTATATGTATGTAAGTGCACCACATATATGCAGTGCTTGCAGAGACCAGAAGAGGGCATTGGATGTCCAGAAACTGGAGTTGCAGGTGGTTGTGAACTGCCGCGTGGGTTCTGGGAACCAAACTTTGGTCCTCTGCAAGAGCAACACATGCTTTTAAAACCATCTCTCTAGTTAACATTTATATGTGTTGCTAAATTGCCTACTTTATGATTGGCTTGGAAGGAGAGTAAAGAGTGAGAAGAGTGGGAAGGAATAGGGCCAGATATCTCAGTACATTATGAGGACCACAGTGGCCTGTTGTTACCAGGCAACCCAGCTTGTCTTATCATGACAATGGATGGGAGACAAGAAGCACTATGTGGCTGCCACAGTAAAGTCCAGAGCAAAGGACTGTGGCTCATTAGGGACCCTAGTTACCATTGAGACTCACTCAATGGGAGAGGAGGAAGGAACTGAGTTTTGATGAATGAGTTCTGGGAGGAGGGGTCATGCTTAGTCCCTTCTGGAGAGGGTCAGACACTGGACACTCAAGTGTGGAAATTAGCAGTGCAATTGCTCCTTTACAGCTGACCACAGGAGTGGAGTATTTTGTCACTGTGAAGATTGGCAGGACCAAATGCAAGAAAAACGAGACAAAGAAAGCTTCCTGTCCTCTGCAAAGCAGCAAGATGAAAAAGGTGTGTTGTGGGAGTCCTCTGAGAAAGCCTCAAGTCCAAGGATAGGGAATGAACATCTTCAGACTGAGAGTCAGGGCCAGCAAATGCCCAGCCGTAAGGCTACCTGACACTTCTTGGTGCATCCAAGAAGGAAGAAGCCTTGGGCAGTCTGGCCACCCAAGCAGGCACAGCCCTGGACCTAGGCTTCTGCTTCTCCCCACAGAGCTCCAGGGTACAAGCATTGTTTGTTCCTTCTCAGGGCCTTTGTTATTATCTTGCTTCCATTCTTTGGGGGCACTGAAGACTATCCCCGTCTCCTCTGTGTCTTCGTAGTTCTATTGTCCCTTTCTATGTTGGCTGGTCCCTCGTTGGGGCCTTTTTCTGTCCCAGGGTGTAGGTGCAGGGATGGGAGGAGAGAGAGGGTCAGTACCCCTTCCTGAAATCCCAGGTCCTGCTTAGACTGAGGGCTCCAGAGGCACCTGCCATGCATCTCAGAGGAGCATTTCCTTTCTGGGTTCTCCAGGGCCTGAGGAATTGGAGCCTTCTCTTCCACCTTTGAAAACTATTTTCCCCAAAGCTGATTCTCTTCTTTTTTCTTCCACAGAGCCTGATTTGCACATCACTGATATACACTGTGCCCTGGACAAACTACTACCAGCTCTGGAACAATTCTTGCCAGGATCACAGAGTGTCCATGTGAAGAGCTCTACTGACACCCAGATGCCTGTGTTGTGTACTGGTTTTTATATAGCTCTAAGAGGACTTGTGCCTCTCTGGGGTGTATCTACACACACACACACACACACACACACACACACACACACACACACACACACGTACACATATGCTCACTCACTCTCACAATACTGATGCTCAATAACATGCATAGTAACAGCACCTTTACCGACGCATGTACTTTCCACTCACATACACACAGGCATGCATACCTCTGCTCTCACACACTTACAGTCATCATGCAAACACGTATGCAAACACTTCCACACGTGAACCTCTGTGCTTTCCCACACTTGCAGCTCACATACACTCCACAGATATGCAGTGGTCACCAGGGACTGCTATGCTTTGAACAGGATGCTGATATCCCTTTGGGGAGCCTCACTGTTCTGTCTACATCAACTCCATGCTTCTTCTATCTCTGGGCCCAGGCACAGTCATTGACTCTGGCCTGGGCATGGGGAACGCTATACCCTACCACTACACACAACACTGTGACTAACACATGACACAGTGAGCATGTCTGAAGTCCCATGGCTAAACAAGGCTGAGTAACCAGTGTCGACTCAGTACACTTGTAGCAAGGCTGTGACTTACAGTGGCTATAGGTCAGCAGGCGGCAGCAGTAGCAGGGATGTCTTAGCTCAGCGTTTTGTTGCTGTGAAGAGACTGACTTACAGTTCAGGGGTCTAGTACATTATTGTCGTGGAGAGAAGCATGGCGGTACAAAGGCAGACATGGTGCTGGAGAAATAGCTTAGAGTTCTACATATGGATCCTCAGGCATCAGGAAGAGAAAGTGACACTGGACCTGGATTGAGCCTTTGAAACCTCAGACCCCACCCCCCGTTACACATTTCCTCCAACAAGGCCACACCTCGTAGTGCCAACTTGCTATGAGCCTATGGGGGCCATTTTCATTCAGACCACCACAAAAAGGTAGAGGGTAGTGTCCCAGGGGAAGACAGAAACTCCCAGAGCCCTTGCCCGTTACAGCTACAGGGTACACTTAATCCCCAGCCACAAGCTATGAGGGTGTCTGTAGCACACCGTCTTCTAGGGACTAGGGTCAGAGACTCAGTGCTCAGGTGTTGTTTGGGGTGTGTGTGTGGTGTGGACATATGGAGGCCCTTTGGTAGGATTTCCATCACTGTGCTGAATGCTTTCCCTCTAGGTCTCCAGACTATGGGCATGGTATATTCTTACTTCCCTACAGCTACCTCCCTCCATTGACTCATAGCTCAGTAAGAGAGGGCACAGCCTTGAGCTGAGAACATATTGAGTGTATCGTGTGATACTTGGCTTCCTCCCTGGATCTGCCACTCTTTCAGTCAGAAGGAAACTTGAGAATCACTTAGGGGAGGAAAATGTAGATCCCCAAGTGAGAGCCTCAGATTAACCAAGATGCTTGGAGGAGAAGGGCCACAGGAAATGAATGGAAGGTTACACATTAGTAGGGAAGAGCCCAAAGCACCCTGCCATGCAAATTCAATGCCATTGGGGCCTCTGAGGCCCCGCATGCCCCTCCCCTTTCTCTGTGTACCCACCGAGTCATCCCTCCCCTCCCTAAACATACCATTCTTATCCATTCTTTAATAATAAACCTGTGGTTTTTAGGAGTTTTTATTTTAATTTTGATTTTTAAGATAGTGTTTAGCTAAGTAGACCAATTGGCCTTGAACTTGAGATCCTCCTGCCTCAGCCTCCTAAGTGCTAGTATCACAAGCATGCACCATCGTACCCAAATAGTTTTCAGTTTCTAATGATACCTTTTACCAATAAGCATGTGTGTATCTGTGTAAAAGGCAGACGTGTGTGTGTGTGTGTGTGTGTGTGTGTGTGTGTGTGTGTGTGTGTGTGTCTATTGGGTATTTGCTGAGGTCACAGGGTGTGCATTTGTACAGCATAAGCTACTTTTGCTCTGAACTTATTTTCACTCTCCCTAACTTACTTTGCATTTCTATTGTTAGTTACTTCAGGTATTGACATAGTGGTGGAATCTCAGCATTCAAGAGGTTGAGTCAGAGGAATTATTATGAGTTAGAGACACCATTCTGAGCTATATAGAGAGGTACTGTCTCAAAATTAACAAATGAATAAATATTAAAGAAATAAACTGGCCGGGTGGTGCTGGCACAATCCTTTAATCCTAGAACTTGGGAGACAGAGGCAGGCAGATCTCTGTGAGTTCGAGGCCAAATTGGTCTACAGAGTGAGTTCCAGGATAGTCAGGCTGTTACACAGGGAAACCCTGTTTCAAAAAATCAAAAAAAGAAAGAAAGAAAGAGAAAGAAAGAAAAAGGAAGAAGAAAGAAAGAAACCATGGTATTGGTTTGAGCTAAGTTCTTACTCATTTCATGTTGGCATAGTGAGACTAGTGTTCAATTTGTTTTTGATTTTATGTGATTTCATATGGACACGGTTCTTTTTAAAAAAAAAATTTATTTGTTGTGTTCTATGTGTGTGCAACATGTGAGTGTGAATGCAAGTGTGCTCTTGCCACGGTGCTCATTTGGAAATCAAAGAAGGACTTTCAGGGATTATTCCTTTCTGACAGTCATGGGTTCCAGGAATCAAACTCAGATTGTCAGACTTGCATGGCAAGCATTTTACCTTTGTGAGCTGTCTCGCTGGCCCTCTTATTATTGTTATTTATTTATTATATTTTTTATTATTTATTTATTTGTTTGTTTGTTTGTTTTCTGAAACAGAGTTTCTCTGTATAACAGAACTGGCTGTCCTGGAATTCACTTTCCAGACCAGACTGGTCTTGAACTCACAGAGATCTGCCTGCCTCTGCCTCCTGAATGTATTATTATTATTTTAACAGTGTCGCAGTTTGCTCACAGGGCTTTCTGCACACCAGCGAGTGCTCTGCCACTGAGCTACATTCCAGTCCTACTTTGAATTTTTAATGCTGTTCTTCTCTCTGGTTATGTGTACTCATGTGTGTCCTTATGGGAGTATGTGCACATGTGTTCAGATGCCTGTGGAAGTCAGAGGCACCAGATCCTCCTGCATCTGGAGCCACAGGCAGTTGTGAGCGGCCCAACGTGAGTCCTGAGAACTGAACTCAGATCCTCTACCCTGTGCTCTTAACTTTTGAAACATCTCTTTTGCTCACTGCTTCGAAATTTTTTAAACAAGTGAACTTTCTCTTTCCCATCCAACCTATTTTGCCTTTTCAATCCACAAACAGGAAGAACTGGGTAAGCAGGCTGCATGAAGGGTAAGTAAATGGAAGTCCTGGCCCAGTAGGAACGGTCCTGCATATCTCCATTATAGTGGTACTTACAGGAATCTACATGAATGACAAAATCACACAGACACACACAGACACAGACACAGACACAGACACACACACACACACACACACACACACACACACGCTGTACTGATCCCCACTAGGTACTCTGTTTTCCTTAATTATGAAAATTTCGCCATCAGAGAAAACCAGGGGGAGGGGTACGGGGCACTTCTCTTTGCTGCCTTTGTAACTTCTTGTAAAAATAAGATTATTTCCAAAATACATTTCAGCCAAACATTGACTGAAAAATCCAAAAGACTAATGGCCCCAAGTGTTCCATCTCTGTTTTTCTCTCAAAGGACAGTCACTGTCTGGGGGATGAAATAGCCCAAATGTGTCAATAGTGTGGATGTGATTCACAGTAAATTACTACCATGGCTTCCACTGAGTTCCTGCTCTAGGCTACATGTGTTTTGATTCCTGCCTTCATCATAAGCATCATTACTTTCACACATTGTAACAACTCCAAGAAGATATCCTGTTTTCCTCAGCTGAAGAAGAAAAGTTGTAGATTAGTGTGATCCCAGATATTTGGAAGAAGGAATTCCAGCTGCCCCCCAAATATTCTAGAGTTTTGATGGGGTGAGTAGATGCTAAAAATTCCTATCTAACCCCAACTTGGGAAGCCTTGGCAAGTCTTCTGTTCACCCAAGATCACAGTTCACACTTGTTGGTCCTCTGCTTGTGTCCTGTAGACTTACCCTCTCGGGGTATGCCAGCTCGTTTCCCTTTGAGCACTCTGCGGCTTTCTCTCACCTAGAGCTACCCCAGTTCATAGGGGGCAGGGAAATCACAGTGCTTGCAGCCACCCTCGGCAAATCCTAACTGGACAAACACCTCGACTCCACCAGCTGCTCCACTCCTGTGGGGTGTGTGTGTGTGTGTGTGTGTGTGTGTGTGTGTGTGTGTGTGTGAGAGAGAGAGAGAGAGAGAGAGAGAGAGAGAGAGAGAGAGAGAGAGAGAGAGAGAAACAGACAGACAGACAGACAGAGACTCTATGATGTCAGCAGGATCTACTAACAGTATTAAAGCCTGGACTTTTGCTGAATGCTTTTGTCAATTTAAAAGAATCTTTATGTGTCTGTTTGTCTCTGTGTTAAATATGGATGCCAATGTCCATGGAGGCTAGAAGAGGGTGTCAGACCCCCCCCCCCTCAGCCCCCGAGCTAAAGGTTAAGATGGTTTGTGAGCTGGGAATTGAACTCTGGTCCTCTGGAAGAACAGCAAATGCTCTTAACCACCAGGCCATCTCTCCAGGCCTTTTGCTGGAGTCTTGGCATGAGATCTTTCTCTACCAGATGTGAATGAGCACATGTGAATTGCTGATAGTTCTCCTGAGACAAAATGGGGGGAGTTGTGTGGAAGGAGCCTGGGGACATTGAATTCCTGAATTGAAGTTTTGGGGTGTCCCCATTGTTAATGTGCTATCACAGAAGGTGCTCCTAAACTCCTGTGGAGACATAAATCTACATCATGAGAAGAGAAGGGATCCAGTGGGACTTTCAGGAAGTTAGTGGGTATCTGTCCATGTAAGCAGATGAATTCACTTGTCTGATAAATAAATCCGTGTTAATGACTTGCTGAATCATCTTGAGAGCCAGTCAGTTTAGATGGGTCTCTGCCACTCCCTGCCTCTCTCACCATGTGATGTCCTGTGCT